TAGGGTCTAGGTCATTTGAAAGTGAATTGATTCAAATTGACACATTAGCGCCCCCTACAGACTATTTCAAAGTTTTAGATGGGCATTTTAAAATTTAGTTTTTTCAAAATGTTTGAAATTTTGTGCATACATCTGTGTTGCCCTCTTGATTCAAAAAGTCAATAGGGTCCAAGGCTTATTTTTTACCCTGTTGCCGTGGCGACGAGAAACGCTCCCCATTCATTGCAAATGTACACCTCACACAAACATCAAACCAGCCTCGGCCGTTTCACCGATTCGCCTCAAAATTTTTCCACATCATCTCAACGCATGTACCATCAAAATGACTTCAGGGAATTTTGATCAGTGAAACGTTGTTCGAGCAGCAGAGTGCCAAAAAGTGGCGTATTTTTTTTCAGTTTTTGACAATAAACATTTTTTTTCCGTTTGCACAAACAAAGTGTGATTGGCACAAAACTTGAATCCATGGTTTAACTCTTGCGTCTAGGTCATTTGAAAGTTTAAATTTTGAAATTGGCTCTATAGCGCCACCTACAACAGCCAATTTAAAAATGCCTATGGGATGGGTTTGAGGTCAAAATTGTTGTAGAGCCATGTCATTTGGAACACATGTTCCTCAAGTCAAGACATGGATAAAATGTTATTATGGCTAAGCCCTCTGACAAACAGGAAGCCCATAAATTTCATTGCAAAATGGAAAATGAAAACCAATCATTTTCATACACGTCGGTTGGAAAGCGACTCCTCCTCGGCCGTTTCACCGATTGGCCTCAAAATTGTTCCAAATCATCTCAACACATTTACCTTCAAAATTACCTCAGGGATTTTTGATCAGTGAAACGTTGTTTGAGCAGCGGAGCGGCAAAATGTGAGGTTTTTTTGGCCGTTTTTGACAACATACATTTTTTCCCCGTTTGCACAAACAAAGACTGATTTGATTAAACTTGAATCCATTGTTCAACTCCAGGGTTTAGGTCAGGTGAAAGTGAAATATTTGAAATTGGCCCATTAGCGCCCCCTGCAGACTGAGTCAAAGTTTACATGGGGAGCCAAACCAGCTCTACTTATCATATTCATTACAATTTGAGTTCTTCTATGGCTACGGGATCCAATCATCACACGGCGGCGCCACCTCCTATGCGCGGTGCTGCGTGGTACGGTGTGGTGCGGCGTAGTGCGGGGCGTTGTGGAGCGGTGTGTTGCGGCTTGGTGCGGGGCGGCGTGATGCGGGACGGCGTGGTGCGGGGTGGCTTGGTGCGGTGTGGTACGGTTTCGGGGCGGCGTGGAACGGAGTGGTGCGCGCGGTGCGGGGATTCGCGCGGTGCGGGGATTTGCGCGGTGCGGGGGGTCGCGCGGTGCGGCGAGGGCCGTTCGACGCCGCTTGCGGCTTTAATTTATTTATTTCTTTCTTTCTTTCTTTCTTTTTTCTTCTGCACTTTGAGCCTTAATTTGACCCCCTGAACATGCATGAAAAGTTGTTAATTTTGGCCCAAAAATCAGACCTGGCGAAAAATTTGATATCTTGGTGTTTATTTTTATGGAACTCAAAAAATGCCAGAACAGCGCCACCTACAACAGCCAAAATAATACCCCTATGGGACTTTTCGGAGGTCAAGTTTGTCGTAGAAACATGAAATTTGCTACACATGTTCCTCAAGTCAAGACATGAAAAAAATGTTATTATGGCCCCGCCCTCTGACAAACAGGAAGCCCATAAATTTCACTGCAAAATGGAAAAATGAACAGCAAAAGTATTCATACATGTCGGTTGGAAAGCGACTCCTCCTCGGCCGTTTCACCGATTCGCCTCAAAATCGCTCCACATCATCTCAACACATGTACCTTCAAAATGACCTCAGGGATTTTTGATCAGTGAAACATTGTTTGAGCAGCGGAGCGGCAAAATGTGACCTTTTTTTGGCCGTTTTTGACAACATTAAATTTGCTCCCGTTTGCACAACCAAAGTCTGATTTGCACAAAACTTTAATACATTGTTCAACTCTAGGGTCTAGGTCATTTGAAAGTGAATTGATTCAAATTGACACATTAGCGCCCCCTACAGACTATTTCAAAGTTTTAGATGGGCATTTTCAAATTTAGTTTTTTCAAAATGTTTGAAATTTTGCACATACATCTGTTTTGCCCTCTTGATTCAAAAAGTCAATAGGGTCCAAGGCTTATCTTTTACCCTGTTGCCATGGCGACGACAAATGCTCCCCTTTCATTGCAAATGTACACCTCACACAAACATCAAACCAGCCTCGGCCGTTTCACCGATTCGCCTCAAAATCGCTCCACATCATCTCAACACATGTACCTTCAAAATGACTTCAGGGAATTTTGATCCGTGAAACGTTGTTTGAGCAGCGGAGCAGCAAAATGTGAGGTTTTTTTTGGCTCTTTTTGACAACATTAATTTTGCTCCTGTTTGCACAAACAAAGTCTGATTTGCACAAAACTTTAATCCATTGTTCAATTCCAGGGTTTAGGTCAGGTTAAAGTGAAATATTGGAAATTGGCCCATTAGCGCCCCCTACAGACTGTGTCAAAGTTTACATGGGGAGCCAAACCAGCTCTACTTATAATATTCATTACAATTTGACAAACATTCTTCTATGGCTACTGAAACAAATCATCACACGGCGGTGCCACCTCCTTTTAGCGGTGCTGCGTGGTACGGTGTGGTGCAACGTAGTGCGGGGCGTTGTGGAGCGGCGCGTTGCGGCTTGGTGCGGGGCGGCGTGGTGCGGGGAGTGCGCGCGGTGCAGGGGGTCGCGCGGTGCGGCGAGGGCCGTTCGACGCCGCTTGCGGCTTTAATTTCTTTCTTTCTTTCTTTTTTCTTCTGCACTTTGAGCCTTAATTTGACCCCCTGAACATGCATGAAAAGTTGTTAATTTTGGCCCAAAAATCAGACCTGGCGACAAATTTGATATTTTGGTGTTTATTTTTATGGGACTCAAAAAATGACAGAACAGCGCCACCTACAACAGCCAAAATAATACCCCTATGGGACTTTTCGGAGGTCAAGTTTGTCGTATCAACATGAGATTTGGTACACATGTTCCTCAAGTCAAGACAAGAAAAAAATATTATTATGGCCCCGCCCCCTGACAAACAGGAAGCCCATAAATTTCACTGCAAAATGGAAAAATGAACAGCAAAAGTTTTCATACATGTCGGTTGGAAAGCGACTCCTCCTCGGCCGTTTCACCGATTCGCCTCAAAATCGCTCCACATCATCTCAACACATGTACCTTCAAAATGACCTCAGGGATTTTTGATCAGTGACACATTGTTTGAGCAGCGGAGCGGCAAAATGTGACCTTTTTTTGGCCGTTTTTGACAACATTAAATTTGCTCCCGTTTGCACATACAAAGTCTGATTTGCACAAAACTTTAATACATTGTTCAACTCTAGGGTCTAGGTCATTTGAAAGTGAATTTATTCAAATTGACACATTAGCGCCCCCTACAGACTATTTCAAAGTTTTAGATGGGCATTTTCAAATTTAGTTTTTTCAAAATGTTTGAAATTTTGCACATACATCTGTTTTGCCCTCTTGATTCAAAAAGTCAATAAGGTCCAAGGCTTATTTTTTACCCTGTTGCCGTGGCGACGACAAATGCGCCCCATTCATTGCAAATGTACACCTCACACAAACATCAAACCAGCCTCGGCCGTTTCACCGATTCGCCTCAAAATCACTCCACATCATCTCAACACATGTACCATCAAAATGACTTCAGGGAATTTTGATCAGTGAAACTTTGTTTGAGCAGCGGAGCGGCAAAAAGTGGCGTATTTTTTTTCAGTTTTTGACAATAGAAAAATTGCTTCCGTTTGCACAAACAAAGTCTGATTTGCACAAAACTTGAATCCATGGTTCAACTCTTGGGTCTCTAGGTCATTTGAAAGTTAAAATTTTGAAATTGGCTCTATAGCGCCACCTTAAACAGCAAATTTAAAAATGCCTATGGGAGGGGTTCAAGGTCAAAATTGTCGTAGAACCATGTAATTTGGTACACATGTTCCTCAAGTCAAGACATGGGAAAAATGTTATTATGGCTAATCCCTCTGACAAACAGGAAGCCCATAAATGTCATTGCAAAATGGAAAAATGAAAACCAATCATTTTCATACATGTCGCTTGGAAAGCGACTCCTCCTCGGCCGTTTCACCGATTGGCCTCAAAATGGCTCCAAATGATCTCAACACATGTACCTTCAAAATGACTTCAGGGAATTTTAATCAGTGAAACGTTGTTTGAGCAGCGGAGCGGCAAAATGTGAGGGTTTTTTTGACAGTTTTTGACAACATAAATTTGATTGACTAACAATCTTCTATGGCTATGGGAACAAATCACCACACGGCGGCGCCACCTCCTTTGAGCGGTGCTGCGTGGTACGGTGTGGTGCGGCGTAGTGCCGGGCGTAGTGCGGGGCGTTGTGGAGCGGCGCGTTGCGGCTTGGTGCGGGGCGGCGTGATGCGGGACGGCGTGGTGCGGGGGGTGTGCGCGGTGTGGGGAGTCGCGCGGTGCGGCGAGGGCCGTTCGACGCCGCTTGCGGCTTTCATTTTTATTATTTTTGACAACAAACGGCATACTTATTGTGTATTGTGTGACCTGTTTTGACAAAAGTATTTAAAAACCATTTTAAATACAAAGCAAACGGGCTTATGCGTGTCATATTTGTCATCAGTGTGGTGATCTTCACTGTCTCTCGATGGTGAAGGAGACAGATCGCTCTCTGAATAAAGATTGACAAAATCAATGAAAAAACTACTCTGGGCATGTGTATGAAGGCCAAATAGCACTATAATCATGTTTAAAGCAGAGAAAGTCAAAAAGCGTATGATGGCTCCTTTAATGCTATTTACCGTCTTAAGCTCACCGCACACCGAAACGCAGCGCCTCGCGGCGCGTCATTTGACGCGCGTTCATGACATGTGTCAAATTACACCGGAACGCCTTGGCTAGCGTCCTTTTCCAGCTGATCGCAGATGAAATGGGTGAGTGACGTTTGGAAGTTTCTACTAATATTTTGGGGGAGGAAACAAAGTATTTACGTGAAATTATGCTGGCAAATATTACAAGAAAAGACTATTTGGACCCATTTTTTAAACAGGCTAATAACTAGCTCTGGGTAACGCTGTACTTGGGTTATCAAGCTTTCCTCGTCCATTGTGACCGGTTTACTTGAGCAATAGCGCCGACAAGTGTGTAAATTTGAGACCGCGCTCACAGCTACGTGATAAGAAGCGCAGAAGAAGAAAACTACGGGTGCTTGGAGGGACAGTTTCAGCCGCGGCGCCGCGTCTGGATTCAACAAAACTGAATCGTGGCGCCCGGTCCAGCGTCGCCGCGCGTCACTGCAACCTTGGTGTGCGTTCTCTCATAGAAAATAAAGGAGGCGGCTCTTTTGCCGCGCGTCAAGGCGTTTCGGTGTGCGTTGGGCTTTACAGATTCAAACTTGTTTTGGTTTTTCTTGCTGTTTCCAGTGGTGTCTGCTGGGCTAATGCTGCTGGATTAAAAAAATACCGATTGTTTTGGTGCTTTCTGGTGGCATCAGAGCCCGCTCTAGCGCCGGGTTAACCTCAAGCTCCACCCAGGAGCGAAGTACCTACCATGGACTGAATACAAAATGTTGGCCCCTGTAAAAGCTCCTGTAAATGGGGGAGAGTCCTGCAGTGGGGACACACACCAACGGGGCTGGACCTGTAAAATTACCCCGAAGTTCCTTCAGTGGCAACGCGGTTATTGTGCAATAAAATACTGTTGTGTGTGTTTGTGCACGCATGTTTGTGCACGCATGTGTGCGACGATAACCGGACTTTGCTGCTGGCAAAGTCACCTCGCTTTGCCTCTCTCCAGCCTGCACACAGTGCTCAGTGTGCAACCTTTGATTACAGACACCCACAGCGCTGCTGCCACCTGCTGGCTCAATAAAACACTGTCCTCTGAGATTTATGAAATAGAGGGGATACAGACCCAGATGAAAAACATATTTTCTGTTGTCTGGTTGTGGTTGTCTGATTCTGCTTTCAATATTTTGTGGTAAAAGGTATATTATAACTTTGCTTAGGTTCGGGTGAGGGAGGAGAACCCAGGGATCCACTATCGATTCCACCCGCCAATAAGCCGTGAGCCCCAGGCTGGATATGCCTGGCACCACACCAGCTGGTCCCGTTGCTCCGCCCTTTGTGCTGGAGGTACGCAGTCTTTTATTTCTTAAATTCAACTAAACAAACACATCTATTGAATAAGCACTATAGCCTGTGACGAAGCAGTTGAGTATGTATGAGTGACACAGGTGAGTAGCCAGTTGCATTGTGCTCCCCCCCACAAATATTTACAAAATAGAGAAGAAAAATAGCATAAAGAGCAAACTCTTTCTGCTACTTTTCTTCTCTATTTTGTAAATATTTGGTTACATTAGCCCTCACTAATTCACAGCTTATTAAGTGCTAATTAGTGTAGCCTAATCCTAGCCTTAATCCTAGCCCTAACCCTAGCCTAACCTTAACCCACTCGGGAAAGTGTAATTTAGTTGTTGGTATTAAATATAAATATAAATATATATATAGCTTCTTGTTTTGTATATTTAGTGTGCTCCTTACTACTGTCCTTTATGTTTACAGCACTTTGTCCCCACTGTGGGACAAATAAAAGTTATCTTATTTTTACTTATGTTCTCATTGTGTTTTAATCCAGGGTTTCAGCTGCAACAGGTGGTGTGTCGAAAGCAGGCCGATCACTCAGTCGTCAATAACCACTTGTGTGAGAAGAAGAGTCGCCTTAAAGAGAAGAGAAGGCCATGCAATACTGAGCCCTGCGCACCCACGTAAGCATGTGCCAACTACTGTTTAAGGAAAACATAACATGTCTCTGAAGTCTCCATAGACACCAAAAGGAGAGGGAAGTCTAATACTCCCATTCTTAGTTGAGCACTGCACCTTACGGACACCATCAATATATGGAGATGGGTCCCATGGCACTGCACTGTAGCGACCACCGCATTAAGGCATGGGTAGTGAGATGCAGAGGACAATGCTGATGTTGATGGGACTATGTACTTGTGTTTGTGTCCTCAATGGCAACATTCAGTTAGCAAGGCAGGGACCCAGTCAAACCCGCCCATGCTGACTCACTCCCACTGCCTTCTGATTGGTCAAAATGTATTCAATTCCACTCTATTGGTCTAACTATTTGTCCTCCAGCCAATCTTACTGGTGGTGTTTATCTGTATACATTTTCTTTTATTGAACAGAGGATGTGGCTGCTGCTTGAGTGTAAAAACAGAAATAATATGTAACTCAGGTGCTCTTCCTAGGGTAAAGCTCTGGAAAGTATGGACAATTTAAATGTATTAAATGTATTTAATACATGGGCAAAGTAAATATCCCACTCAATTCAATTCAATTTATTTTTGTATAGCCCTAAATCACAACAATAGTTATATTGAAGGACACAGATCAGATAATAAACAGTTCAAACACAGAAAATGCAATGAAAGATAAACACGGAACCATTGGTCCATAAGGGGCACATGACAAATGTCCATATGTATCCATATGTTGATAAAGTCCATAAATGTCGTTGAATGTCAGGTGTCCTGGATCATCACCACTGTCCTTAGACCCTCATGCATTCGCATGGAAAACTCTTAAAAACGCAGTGGAAGAAAATGAGGGACATTTGGGGAGGGATGGGCTATAGATCCAGGACTCAGACTGTGGGATGCATGACTGAGGCTGTAGAAAGAGGGCCGAGGGCTCACCTGTTGTTTAATGTTGTTGAGTTGCAGGTGGTGGACGGGTGAGTGGTCTGAGTGCAGTCGCAGCTGTAATGGGGGCCTGCGGTCTCGGGGTGTCCTGTGTAAGAGGAGGGTCTCTGCATCTGAGGAGAAAGTCCTGGATGACTCAGCCTGCATATCCCTGAGGCCCTCGCTCACCGAGCCATGCAATAATCACAGTTGCCCCCCCGAGTGGTTGGCCCTGGACTGGTCTGAGGTACCACTGAAATCCTTATTTGAATGCTCTCAATCAGCAAGGACTTCTTTTATTACAGTCCTTCCCAAGCAACAATAGAAAGTTACCCTTTACAAATTGTTTATGGATATCAAAAGGGAGACTGTTTACCTTTTCTGAAAATATGAACCGAGAAAGTAGAAAATATATAGAATATATATATAATAGAACAAATATAAACAATGCTCTTTCCCTATATCTCAGAGGATTAGAGGATCAGCTGATTATTATTTGTATTTATTTTTTACAATAATATTACAGGCTGCAGCGACAACCATGAGACTGTAAAAATCATCTTTTCATCTGAGAAATATATAAAAACTAAAAAATTGCTGTTTTAAAAGGCAGCTAACTGCTCTAAGCGTAATGTCAAAGTGGTAGAATAGTAACATACTTTGCATTGCAACTGGTTGATATTTTAATAGATTTTTGCACTGCAATTTTTTTTCTTTTGAAAATTAGATACATTGAATATTTTTGAGTACATGTTCCATTTTGAATGTTTAAACACATAAAAAATAATAATAATTATTATAATTAATTAATAATGAAATTCAGAGAGAATAATTATTCAGATATTTTCTCTTGTAGCCACAATCGCATAACACACCTACTTCCATTGTAAATGCATATTGTTCACATTATCTCCCTGACCTCCCTGAAACGTCTTCTCTCAGTCTTCTCCCTCTTTTTGAATGCAGTGCACACCCAGCTGTGGTCCCGGATACAGGCACCGTGTGGTCCTGTGTAAGGGCGGGGAGAGTGGAGACACCCTGTCTGAGTCCCATTGTCCCAAACAGGGACGTCCCACCTCCAGAGTACGATGTAACCTGCAGCGCTGCCCCCCGCCACAATGGATCAGCGGCCCCTGGGGAGAGGTCTGCTTTTCGATTGCTTTTGTCTTTACACAGGCTGCATCTTCCCTTCTTCAGAGTTACACCAAGGGATAATAACCGGTATAATGTGATGTTTAAAGATGACAAATCAACCTTTCTACAACAAACCTGAATGTTTTTAGATCTGGTTCCCTTCCTCTTCACAGAACACCTTTACTAGTGTATATGGACTAGCTTTACAGATAGTGAACAGGCCCTTAAAATATGACAAGGCTTCTTGCTGTTTTGGTGCAGTACTACTTAATGTCATCTCTTTGCGGCCTTATACTGTACATACACCGCATTTATCCAAGTGACTTCATTATGTTTACTTTTGAATACACTGGAAACAGAAGCAAGTCCTGAGTAGCTTTGAAACCCGTTGTTTTGTGCTTTACACTTTTTTCTGTAAATTTTACTGCATTACAGTTTAAAAGCTTTACACTGATCCAGACCAGAGAGCATGGGCGGTCCGATCCAAGCAGATCAAGCATAAATCCTCTGAAAGAATGCTTTTTATTTTTAAAATGCTAATCAAACAGTTAAGATTTCAATCTGAACCAGTGCAGTGAAAATGGTCCGCTGCTCAAAGCCTCATTGTAAAGCCCCACTCCACACATTGGGGCTGTTGCTAGTTGCACAGTGCAAGTGTTGCAAAACACATTAAAAACACATCAATCGTAAACTGTTCATTTCCACTTTCATGCATAAACCAATTTTGGCACAGGAGCAGTTGGAAACATGTGGCGCCCGGTGCAGTGTGTTATTCGAACAAGAACTCATGGATATCTCTGCAGTGCTTGTTATTATACTAGAGGCTGCTCTTGCAGCTTTTGAGACTCATTTATTAGTTATTTTATTGCATTTGCAAGTTGTGCAATTTTTTTAATATAGTGAATTATACGGTTATTGTCATATTTCCTTCTTATGTGATATACAGAGCCTTGCGAAAGTATTCGGCCCCCTTGAACCTTTCAACATTTCGCCACATTTCAGGCTTCAAACATAAAGATATGACATTTTAATTTTTTGTCATGAATCAACAACAAGTGAGACACAATCGTGAAGTGGAACGAAATGTATTGGATAATTTAAACTTTTTTAACAAATAAAAACTGAAATGTGGGGCGTGCAATATTATTCGGCCCCTTTACTTTCAGTGCAGCAAACTCACTCCAGAAGTTCAGTGAGGATCTTTGAATGATCCAATGTTGTCCTAAATGACTGATGATGATAAATAGAAGGCACCTGTGTGTAATCAAGTCTCCGTATAAATGCACCTGCTCTTTGATAGTCTCAGGGTTCTGTTTAAAGCACAGAGAGAACCATGAAGACAAAGGAACACACCAGGCAGGTCCGAGATACTGTTGTGGAGAAGTTTAAAGCCGGATTTGGATACAAAAAGATTTCAGACCACTGCAAATCTACCAAGACCCGGCCGTCCCTCCAAACTTTCATCTTAAACAAGGAGAAGACTGATCAGAGATGCAGACAAGAGGCCCATGATCACTCTGGATTAACTGCAGATAACTACAGCTGAGGTGGGAGAGTCTGTCCATAGGACAACAATCAGTCGTGCACGGCACAAATCTGGCCTTTATGGAAGAGTGGCAAGAAGAAAGCCATTTCTCAAAGATATCCATAAAAAGTCTTGTTTAAAGTTTGCCACCAGCCACCTGGGAGACACACCAAACATGTGGAAGAAGGTGCTCTGGTCAGATGAAACCAAAATCGAACTTTTTGGCCACCATGCAAAACGATATGTTTGGCGTAAAAGCAACACAGCTCATCACCCTGAACACACCATCCCCACTGTCAAACATGGTGGTGGCAGCATCATGCTTTGGGCCTGCTTTTCTTCAGCAGGGACAGGGAAGATGGCTAAAATTGATGGGAAGATGGACTGAGCCAAATACAGGACCATTCTGGAAGAAAACCTGTTGGAGTCTGCAAAAGACCTGAGACTGGGACGGAGATTTATCTTCCAACAGGACAATGATCCGAAACATAAAGCCAAATCTACAATGGAATGGTTCACAAATAGACGTATCCAGGTGTTAGAATGGCCAAGTCAAAGTCCAGACCTGAATCCAATCGAGAATCTGTGGAAAGAGCTGAAGACTGCTGTTCACAAACGCTCTCCATCCAACCTCACTGAGCTCGAGCTGTTTTGCAAGGAAGAATGAGCAAGAATTCCAGTCTCTCGATGTGCAAAACTGATAGAGACATACCCCAAGCGACTTGCAGCTGTAATTGCAGCAAAAGGTGGCGCTACAAAGTATTAGCGCAAGGGGGCCGAATAATATTGCACGCCCCACTTTTCAGTTTTTATTTGTTAAAAAAGTTTAAATTATCCAATAAATTTCGTTCCACTTCACGATTGTGTCCCACACGATGTTGATTCTTGACCAAATTTTTTTTTTGTATATCTTTGTTTGAAGCCTGAAATGTGGCGAAATGTTGAAAGGTTCAAGGGGGCCGAATACTTTCACAAGGCACTGTATCATCATAAAGGCAATACACATCTTTATCAAAACTATGTTTCGCTCTATAATGCTTTCATTTAAGCTTGTCATATATTTGTGTGCGCAGTGCTCTGCAAAGTGCGGCCTGGGGCAGGAGATGCGCTCCGTTCAGTGTTTGACTCACAGCGGACTGCCCTCGCACGAGTGTCTGGATCATCTGCGCCCAGCCACCATGCAGCAGTGCCGAAGCAAGTGTGATGTGAGCCTGCCCATCAAGGCCGAGGACAGCCCCGAAGGTACGCATCACAAAAGCACACATGCGTCTTTGCTTGGACCCACATGAACCAATTGTCGTCGAGGTGCTACACATACTGTACAACAATCCACACATTTGAGGGAGACTTTTAAGTTTTACATCTTGCACGTCATTTAATAACACAAACTATCCGCATAGCCTAAAAATAACTTTGTAAAATTGCATATTTGCAATGTGAGAGGTAGGGCTGGGCGATATGGCAAAAAAAAACATCTCAGATTTTTTCACATAAAACCCAATTTTATATTTTAATAGATTATTTTTTCCTATTTAGAAACACCATTGGAGCTACGCGACGGGGAAAAAGTCTGAAAAAAAGAGACCTCGTATATGACAATAGTGGGGGGTATTTCCCACCTCAAATGTTATTACAATCAACAATCAAATCCCTATAAGCTGCGCGCGTGCGCGATTGCACAGTGCTTTTAGGGTCTCAGCGACAACTCTGTCGTGCGCACACAATGAAAATCCAGCTTCCTGTGCCTCCAGCACAAACGACGCAGGCGCATATTTCAACAGTGTATGGACCACGGTGGATCTGCGCAGGCTTCATTCTCTAAAAAAAAGAAGAAGTCAGAGCCTCTCTGTCTGTGACCATGAGGTACACTGTCCACAAGTGCGGGAGAAGCGCCTGACACAGGAGTCTGAAGCTGTGTTTGATCCAGAACAGGGCTCGGACCAAATGCCATATTACTAAATAAAACCATGTATACTATGTATTAATGTACTCTAATTAGTCTATATTTATATATGAATAGACAAAATCCGCTTAGAATATTTTGTGTTTTTAGTGCAAGTCCCCAAATATATTACTCAATCTACTTTAATTCACCACCTATAAATAATGATGAGGTGAATATTGAACCGAATCATAGTTGTTTGAAGAAGCTGGAGTAACTAAAATAAATGGGATCATCAGGTGTATACAGCAGGTGTATACAGCAGGTGTGTACAGCAGGTGTATACAGCAGGTGTATACAGCAGGTGTGTACAGCAGGTGTATACAGCAGGTGTATACAGCAGGTGTATACAGCAGGTGTATACAGGAGGTGTATACAGCAGGTGTATACAGCAGGTGTATACAGCAGGTGTATACAGCAGGTGTATACAGCAGGTGTATACAGCAGGTGTATACAGCAGGTGTATACAGGAGGTGTATACAGCAGGTGTATACAGCAGGTGTATACAGGAGGTGTATACAGGAGGTGTATACAGGAGGTGTATACAGGAGGTGTATACAGCAGGTGTATACAGCAGGTGTATACAGGAGGTGTATACAGGAGGTGTATACAGGAGGTGTATACAGCAGGTGTATACAGCAGGTGTATACAGCAGGTGTATACAGCAGGTGTATACAGGAGGTGTATACAGGAGGTGTATACAGGAGGTGTATACAGGAGGTGTATACAGCAGGTGTATACAGCAGGTGTATACAGGAGGTGTATACAGGAGGTGTATACAGGAGGTGTATACAGCAGGTGTATACAGCAGGTGTATACAGCAGGTGTATACAGCAGGTGTATATAGGAGGTGTATCCAAATGCGAATGGTTTTCAACAGAGATCTCTCGCTCAAAGTGTTCTACGTGCCACTAAGGGCGTTTGTGTTTTTGCCTTGACCCATGAAAAATTAGAGGGAACATTGATTACAAATAACTTTTATGTCCTAATTAATACGTATATTCAACTTTTACCGCTTTTGGCCGCTCCTCTCTCTCACTCCGTGATCCATGCTAGGGACGCTCACGTACCACGGCATGGGCTAAGAATAGTATGAAATCGGCGGCGTTGTTCGTGAAAGTTAACGAGAAAATCGATTTTCATTTGAAATAAATCCCCCTAAACATCAGATTTGACTTAATAATTTAAATTGAGTTATCGCTCAGCCCTAGTGAGAGGTGTGCCTATTATTTTGCCAGAGTGGGAATATGTTTATTGTTGTAGAAATCTTGAATTTCATGCATGTTATTTGCGTGTTGAGATGGGTGAGAAATTTACACCACCTCCAGACTCTGCATATATTCTGTGCGCTACGCTCACTTCCAGATTGATACTGTAAATGCCAAAAGGTGTACATTTTTTCCGTATGCCTCATTTACACCCTGATTTGGCCGTACGCAAGTTTCATAAATGAGGGCTGATGCACACACCAGCTATGTCTACATAAACATGACACGGTGATCAAATGCGCATGTGCGGCCATATGACTGCGAGCACAGCAAATGGGGTTGCATGATTGGTGCAGAGAGGTATGCGCATCTCAGAATCCGAGAACTCTTTACTGGTGGTGCTGGTGAACCCCGGGTCTTGTGCTGCACGGTACCAGCCTCCTTTATGGAAACACTCGAATAACTGTCTTTATAAGCCTGTGTTTTTGTTTAATGTGAGACTTGTTTTTTAGTCTGCCTATTTGTTTCTTGTTTTAGTGTGGACCTCGAGTCTGATTAAAGATGATTTAGATGGTACAAACAACTAACTAGCCTAGCCAAATATCAACATAAGATTATAATTGATGAATTTATTGACATAAAATCTTTGTATGAAAAAAGGCTGATACACCGTGGATCTAATGCTCTCGCTACAAAGTGATTGGCCACTATCACACATTTTGCAACTACAGGGTCAACTTGCAACTTTTTGGTAGATCACTTTTGAGTCACTATATCTACTTGAAACATTCCAGGAACTGAAATCTACCTCTTTGGGGAGTTTCACTTGGTTTTAGGAACTTTTACCACCAAACGACATCTCAACCATTTGGTAAAGGCTTATGATATCTTTGGAAAATCAAAAAAAATATGAACAACAAGGAGTGAACATTAAAGGTTTAAGATGTTCCTTCATAATACAACAAAATGTACAATCTCATTCACGTGTTTCTTTCAGAGTGCAAAGATGTGAACACAGTGGCGTACTGCCCGCTGGTGCTCAGGTTCAAGTTCTGCAGCCGGCCTTACTTCAGACAGATGTGCTGTAAAACCTGCCAGGGCCACTGACCAGGCTGACCGGGCTGCTGACCTCCAGCCCTCTTCTCTGCGTCTGGTGGGGCAATGGGACTACATCCAAGCCGGCCAGTCATACGCTGGTAGACCGTCGACCTGGGAGAGCTGCTACATTAAAGACTAAAAATGACTCTTTTAGTAATCATTGGTGCTATTATTTTTTTACTTACATTTGGTGTGTAGTTCTGAGATCATGTAAGGGTCACAAGATCAGTGCTTATGTATGAAGGAATAGCTATGACTTGATCACTTTCTATAATAAATGTTGTATTTACTAGTCCTCAATGTTATTTAGCTAAAGCCCTTTTTGCACAAAGCGTAAGCCATTAGAGGAATAGAGTGTGGGTGTAGTTTCTAAATATTTGTGATCTTCTTTTTGCGTTTGTGTTCCTTAAAGAGGACATAATGTGCTCAGCTATACTTTTGATCATCTCTGACACCTGTGGCTCAGTGTATAAGAACTATCAAAATCAAGCCTAGATTAATTAAACTGTAATCAAATTTGACACTTATTCAGCATATTCAGGCTGGTCAACCCAACTGTGATTAGGCCTGTTTGAAATAAGGAATTTTCTCGTGGCCATACTTCCATGCAAAAGCCAGGTCCAATCAGACCTCTGAAGCCGTGTAGGGCAGTACCTGGTTAATACTGTGATGTCACCGTGGTGTGATAAAGTGCCAAATTGCCTAGAATGAGTCTGGTGTATGTAGCTAGTGCTGGTCAGAGTGGGAGATGGAACATACTGGTTGCCTCGCTTCTGACAGTGTGCCCCAGGGCAGCTGTGGCTACTGTAGTAGTTTATCACCACCGTGTATGGAGTGAAATAATGACATGAGGTGTCTTTGAGTGTCCTGAAAAGCGCTATGTAAAACAGATGCATTATTGTTACTATTATTTCCAATTCGATACGATTCAGTAAAAGTGAAACACTTTTGGTTAATAACTCAAAGAACGCTCAGCCTCATTTTAACAAGAATACGTGTAGGTATTGGTGCCATCCATTTACTGAAGGATTGTAGAGAAAATGTTAGTGTAAAAATTAGTGTTGTCAGAATTAGTACGATATTACTACGTTTATTTAAATAAATGTTATGGTTAAGGGTTAAGGTACATTTATTATTTACCATCCTGCTATGTCACTGGAGCTCCTGTCAGGAGCAGTGGTCGCCACAGTGCAGCACCAGGGACACCAGATGTTGATTCTCGGCTTGGTCAGAGCAGGAGGATTTTACCTATTGTACATGTTTTTAACCACATAAATGTGTATAATGCGCAATCGGCTGCTCCTTCGTGACCGGGTACAGTGGCAGCACGGTGCTTCACAACAAGGTCTTGTAGATTCTGTATCATATCTGCCTTTTCTGTGTGAAATTTGCATGTTTCTCCTGCAACCTGGGTTTCCTCCAGGGCTATAGCTGTGCACCATCTTCCAGCTCCAGTAGTCCTAATCAAGCAGAGTATGAGTAACTGGAGATGGGCCCCTGGGCGCTGAGCCAGGATGCCCTGGCCTAGTGGCATTGCATAAAGGGTTAAATGCCAAAGAATAATTCCAATGTGGTGTTAACTGCAAATGACTACATGAACTGGTATCTTGAAATTGTAGTTTTTTATATGCTCTATAAACCTCACGAAAACTACGGAACCCAGATTAAAACAGAAAATTAAACGATAGGCAAATCCCCATGCATGTCCAGTCTCTCCCACTTGCAAGCTGCCAAGCCCCACTGATGAAGAGGCACCGAGCAATGACCGATAGTCCACTATGAGCACCGCCCCACAAAAATCCTTCTTCCACCTTCGCTGTGGGTGAGGTTCACCGGCCGAAATGGGGAGGGGCTGCCGCACCAACCACACACCGGGACAAAGCATAAGTTTCCAACAGGTGAATCTGACAAAACATTTCACCAACTACAGTAAATGATATGAGAACAGGGTCAATGCTTAACAAAAACAATACAAACAGCTTATCCACTTTCCCATTATGAGAATAATTATTCATGGGACATTTGGAATTATATAAAAATGCGTAACTATGACATTCATGATATTGATAACACTTGGTTGATTGGCAGCACTTATCAAGTTATCCAAATTCTAACTATTTAAAAAATGAACTAAAATATATTTACCAAAAAAATTACTTTTTACTATTTTTACCACACTCTTGAGTGTGCAAATGACAAGGGATAATGAATACAACACGGAGAAAAACTGTTTATTCTGAACGTTATGTCCTCTTTAAAGTTGTTTTTAAATATGTTTTTACTGCAAAACTGGAAGCGCCTCAGTGCAAATACTTGCTGACTGATTTCATCTCTGTTAACAGTGTTATTTTAGAATGGCTGCGTCGGCAATCATTTAATCAACATGACTCCCAGTTATAATAAGCTGCAATACGTCACACCATTTTGTTTTCTTTTGGGGGAAAATGTGTGCAATCACCGGTGCTTTCGGTTTATACTGTATGGTGCTAAGTTGTCGTCACGTTTTTCTTGTTGGTAAACCCATTCTTTCGGATTTGTGGTGAACAAACATATACAAATTGACCGAAGCATTACTGTCTATTGAGATGAACCCATGTAAATGTCTTTCACAGATATTAAATATTAATTTATCCATGTATTTTTCTGCTGGCGTGGCCTTTACTTTAATACTACACATAACTTGAGGCACGCAATTGGACTTTTGTATATTGTGTAAGAGCGTTGTAAGGTCATTACTTGTCCAGACAGGAAATAAATTCATCAAAAGTATATTTATAAAGTTGACACGTAGGGGAAATGTTTGCCGTGTGTCCTCAAAAGGCATTGTTAGAGACAGCAGTTTTTGAATTGGCCTACCTCAGGCTTATTCATTCATTCAAAGTTTACTCCTAAACTGCTACTGTCAGACTGTAGTAAGAGTATTGTTACTGTCAGACTGCAGTTAGAGGACCTCTGTTATATCTGTATTACTGCCAAGCATTATTATTTGAAGAACTGAACGTCTGTTCTGCCCACATTGTTACTTCTGTATCTATATCTTAAGTGATGACATCTTTTGTTCTAATGCACATAGGCACAAATCATATATAAAGCCTTGTCTCCTTTTGTTTGATCTGGAGGGACTCCTTTATTTCTCGACATATTGATGTTGTCAGACTGTAGTATGAGGACTGTTAGACTGTAGTAAGAATAAAAAATAAATAATAGTATTTCAGTTCACTGAAATTGTCATCTTTATGCTGTTTTCCTGATGCAGCTCGCGCACCTTTGCCTGAGCACTTGGGTGTTTGGAGCAGCGCCTCAGAGACCACACTGGGTGGAGTCGGTCTGTACTAAACCATCATTTGGCAACAGGCGGCTGATAATGACCGCTTTACACCCGTGTCCTCACTGTGTCCACACTTTGTCCACAAATGTAGGTTGGATTCGCCGGCTGTTCTCATACTCATTGGTACTAAAGCAAAAGCAGAAGTCCACGGCCCAGAACTCTGACTTTGAGGAAGTGACTTGGGCAGAGTCAACTGAGTTTCTTGTAGGCGGATGCTGTTACTGCGACGGAGTATAGCTACGGCAAAACTATGGCAAAATTGTGAAAAACTGGATTTATACAGAAGAGGAAAGAAAAGAAACTCCCAATAATGGTAAGTAACAATCTATTTGTCAATAGATTTGTCTGTGACAAAACAAAAGGCAAAAAAGCAGAAAAAATATGCTTGAATAAATCCTTCTTTAGATTATTATTACTAATTTAATAAAATATATATTTGCAAGGCTATTCTGATTGTTTTTTTGCATCTTAATAAGCCCAGGTGACCTTCTACTTCTACTACTAAGCAATAAATGAGGGGACTATTTTTGAGCCCAGACTTACATGCCGGGAACTTGTTAAATCCACATTGTCATCTCATTCTAGTAGTAATTAGCATTATTTGTGTTGATTTCGGGCCTTTAACACAATCTGGAGAATGTTTACTTGCTCATTTTATTTTAAAAACAGCTCAACATATTCCTCGCATGTATAATTTAAGTTGCTAAGAATGTAATTCTTTTGCAGTTTGATATGAACTAATTTGTGAGAAACAGCTGTTTCCATGTCATCACTGAGGAATTATAGTACAGTTGAAAAACAAAGCATTTAGACAGAAGAGGTGTCAATCTCTGTTTGGTCCAGGGCTGAATTTATGTTAATTTTTTTATTATTTATTTAAAAGTGTAAGGCCTTTATAGGTGAGCTGCAGAGGTGTGAAGAGTGGCAATATCGTTTGCAGGAAACTGTGCGTTTGAAATGTGTGTTGGTTTCATAATAGAATCAGTAAGAGGAGGAAGTGGACCTGAGGGCCACACAGACTGACACAAAACTTCCCCAGCTCAGTGCATCATGTGTGCTGAGAGTAGGGCCACAGAGCCTTCTCCAAGCCAGAAACAGACCAAGACCAGGACAACTCTTAAAATCATGTATGCTGATTTAGGAAACTGAGCCCTGGTTGCCGGAGCGTAGTTTTGCATAAACAGACAATACGACGTTACTAATAATCAACTTGTGGTTTGACTTGAACATCAGGCGCAGTCAGCACAGGCGACATGTCTGAGTTTATGTATTCTCAAAACTATAATGGAGGAGTAGAAGAGGTATGTTAACTCATGTTCTTTTGGAGTTTCAAGCTCAACGAGCCTCCGGCTTCAACAGTTTCCTCTTTTGGCACCGCTCCAGTTGATGAATGTCCATGTTTTTCCGTTGAAAAATGCTTAGCTTTGCGGTACATCAGTGGCAGATGCGACATGGTCTTTTTGTGAATTCTTTGAGGTCTGGAGAGAGTAAACGTGAACCCTTAGATGTGCAATTTCTGACAAACAAACAATACATTCTGCAGCCTAAAAGTGATTTGTAACGTTAGAGCAGTATTTGGGCTGATTATGGCCCATGAGCCATGAGTTCAAAGAACATAATTCCTCTATATTTACCTTTTTTTTCTGCCTGTGCCTTTCGTTTCCTTTTTATTAAGGACAGCAAAATACAGACAACAAAAAATAAAGCATCACCTCAACGTTCAACACAAAAAAAACACTAAAGTACAAATAAGCACATAAAAAAAGCTTTGCATTTTACTGAAGCAGCGTCAGGAAGCTCAAGGACCGGCATGCTTCCCCCTTTCTTTGCTTTCCCGGCATTTTCTCTTGAAGCTGTGCAGAGTAGACACAGGTCTCCTAGTCCCCTCCACCTGTTTCGAGAGAGGGGAGAAGCTCTCCGTCAGCCCCCAGTGTAAATGTAAAGGCCCCCCGACACTGTTGCAGTAGAGTATGACACAGGCTTAACAACCCGTTTGAAAAAAGGTGCATATTTTCATAATGTGTGCTAATGTGTATAAAGGCCTATGTTATGTTGAATACATTGTAACATTAAAACTTTAAAATGAATCAATAATCATTATCAAAAGGACATTGGTTGCACATTTTCTGGACTAGCTCAGATTCCGGAAGTCACCATATTAAACAGCTGCTTGGCTCTGCTTTGTTTTTTATTATTCCTGGTCATTTCCTGTCACTGCAACCGCAAAGAATAGAATAGAATATTTGTACCGCACTGCAGAGAACAAGTACAATCAGTACCATCAACAAAATTACATTTGATAACATAGATAAGATAAGAGATCCTTTAATCGTCCCACAAATTTCAACGTTGAAATGTCAACGTCACAGCGCACATACAGGACAGTGGTAAGAGCACACCGGGAGCACGCAAAATATATCAAATAAGTAAGTAGCTGCTATGTTTCTTAGCTTGCTGTAAATGCTTCAATTCCAGATTTACAATATATATATGTAGTGCAGAGTTATATACTGCACATATAGGGCAGAATAATAAGTAGATACTGTAGATTAAGTAAAGTGACTTAGTTCAATGGACATTCTGAAGTTGCTGTATTGCACATTATACAATTGCAATATATCCTTATTTACAGATGAATGACATGAAGTGAGTCATGGAGCTACTGCACTCCTGAGCGTCGCCCATGGATCTATTATAATAACTGGATAGGGTATTACTAGCTTGGAGCTGAAGAACCCATGTGCTCGCGGGATTCTCGCGGTACTACAGACTGAACCAGACTAAATTCACGTGGGATACTCAGAAATTTTCCTCATAGAACTCAACAGAAATTAAAACAGCGCGACCTCAGCTGACAAAGAACCTACAGCTTTCATAAAGGTCGGATTTTGTGGGGATTTTAGTGTCCCTTGTCATCCTGAACTTTTTTTCTTCTTAAATCCTTCAGTTTTCTTTAAATCCACACTTTAGTGCCACAAACTCTGCTCGTCTGGCTCCCGCTCTAACTCCCGCTCTGATGAACTGCTCTGATTGGTCAGAGCGCGGCCAAGCCCCTCTGTGCACGTTCTAGGGTTTAATCCCGGGATACGGGATTCCCGGGAAATCTGATGAAAACTATTTCCCGATTCCCGGGAAATGTTATGACGGGAAACGGGAAATGAAAGTAAAAAAAAAAATACAGTGCGTTCCTATTATAAAGCACGTGTATTGTTGTTCAAAGTTCAAACATATTTCATTTACAATCAACATGTCTACAGCTGAGAGGATGGCTCATAAATTGTGTTTTTGACAACAAATATGGGTCTTAATCGCGCTAAACCACGACTTGTAATGAGGCCAGGCTCAGGGTACGGGGCACATGTGAGCCCAGAATTTGGTTACGTCCAATTCTATCAGAAAGCTCCTTTCTTTTTTTTCCATCTGCTAAGGGCAGCAACAGGTTTGGCTAACATACATATAACACATTTTAGGATCATATAAAATGCATTTAGGGTAATGTTCTGCTTACAATGACGATAGGAATGATAAGGAAGAGAGGAGAAGGGTAAGAAGGTTGATATTAGAAATTGGATGCGCCCGAGAGTCGGCTGCAGCGAACACACAGGAGTTTATGGAGGTGGCACCCGTTTTGTTTTACGCTTTAAAACTCTTTGGGCTTATTTCCAAATGGGGGATTACATATCTGCGCTCAAACTATTATCTGGACTTAAACATGAAACTGGTCTGAACTGAAGTGGTCTGTGCTGTTCATTAATAACTAAGGTAAGACCCATAACACAATTGGAAATGTGCCTTTTACGAACTTTTGCGTTTTGTTTGAGCAAACAATGCGGGCCATGGAAAACATTCTGCTGTAGCCAAACTAATTGTGAATAAGCCGCTTTGTAGGTTCTGTTGATTTATATGATATATGTTCATCTGACAGGGCTGAAGTCAGTGCCTCCAAACCACACGTCACTGGTCGACAAGTGGATTGTGCAGACATTTAGAATCTCATAATAGTGAAATTCCTGAAGAAAGCCCATCAACAAAACGTCTGAAAACGCTATGGCTACTTTAGCAAAGCAAGTCGCTTGGTGAAACACTAGTGGAGACGGCAGCTTTTGTTGGATTATATATTTGAGTGATATCATACATTACTTGGGCTAAAAACAACAACTACAAACAACAGCTATTTCCCGGGAATTCCCGGGAAACGCGCCGTCTTTTCCCGGGATTTGATACGTCTCATTTTCGGGAAAAATATTAAACCCTAATGAGCAATGGGTGGAGGGCTTTGAGGACGTTTTTCCACTTGAGGACCAGCAAGACGTATCAGATTTCTGACATGTACATCGCGCCAAAGCAGAGCAGTGGCGCGCATGCGCAGTCCACCCTTGGGTTCTATCCACTGTTTCTCGAGGTTACTGTAGTTTGCTATGAAACCACCCTCCTTCAACGGAGTACTTGTTTCAGTAGCTTCAGAGGACGGGCACATTTGGCACATCAATGTGCTGGAACTCTGGGCGGTGTTGTATTGTTATTAGCAATATTATTTGTATGAGTAGTAGCGTTCATAATAAGTAAGTAACAAAATAAATGTACACATGATGTGAAGTAAAAGTAATTTATTTAATATAAGAACAAGCTGACGATGAGTCTGGCTCAGACACAGCAGACTGCTGGACAGCAGACTGATAGACAGGCGCTCCTCCGCGGGAATCGAGTGCCTGTAGTTGGTATCCAGGCGGGAGCGATGCGAGCTCCAGGCGGGCGAGCTCCGGGGTGCGGGTTCTCAAACTGGGCGAGTGTCTTGCGGAAGTACTGCTGAAAGCGAAACTCATCCGTACGCAGCTCCTGTAGTAAATGGTGAAACTCAGCAAAAACTGCAGCCTCTCAAGTCTGTGGTGAATCCAGAACACGTATAGTAGAAACCCTACGACAACGCTATTTGGCTTTATATAACAACTAAAGGTGTTTTCACACCGCCAACGCTGGAACACTGATGCCTCGCGCACCAGACGCACATTCTCTAATTTTCAGATGCAACGGAGTTCAGACCAGAAGTTCTGGCCTGCGGTGGCGCCCGCCGGTAGTGGCAGAAGTAGAGGGCGGACTTTGATGCTAACTGAGTTAAGCTAGCGCCTTTTTGTGTAAAGTTCTTCTCCAATAATGCAGCTCTGCAGCGAAAGCCTCTCTCTCCCACTGCGCCGGTTGAAGGCCTGAGACGAGGCAGAATACCAACGGAGCCAAGGCGGCATATATCGCTGGATATGGATCTGCGTGGAGTTTGCATGTTCTCCCCATGTCTGCGTAGGTTTCCTCCGGGTGCTC